TGATATTCAAACCACCGGAAGTAGTCATTTTTGGTCTGCCATTCTTGTTATATCGATTGAAGTTGATAGCAAACTGATTGTCAAGGCAAAAATTGCTGTTAAGTCTTGAGGGTTCTATTAGAATTTGAGTGTACGTAAATTCAAGGAATATGATGGGTGGTTACCAATTTCAGTTCCATCAAAAGTTCTAAACTCGAGTCACAGTGTATGGTTCTAATAAATAGGTGCATGCATTCTGGTTGTTGTGTGAAGCTTTATTATGAATGTAACTCGTGAGTTTTCTTAGTCTGATTATGAAAATGAATGAATTTTGCAGAATATGGAAGTGCTTCTCAAGATGGGGAAATACACTGGGATAACTTCAGAATTGGCAATACCATCAGATTCTGCAAACTACATACCAATTTATAAGAGGCCACCAATTGCAGCACAAGTAATTATTGGCACCCCTGGTACAATAAGTAAGTGGGTATTAGCAAAGAAACTGGGAGTGAGTCAAATGAAGATTCTTGTTTTTGATGAGGCAGATCACATGTTGGCTGAGGTACTTAACGTCTGTCAGCTGGAAAGTGATCTGTGCACATATATAAATAAAATCAATACTTTTTCTTTTTTTTTCTAAGATTACAACTATAAAATAGAAATCCCAACTCATAAAAGCAATCCCTTGAAAAGAAGAAGAAAAGGAACCTTCTAATCTCTGGGGGTAAATTTACTCCCACCTATACGTACGATTACTCAATTTCTTCTGTTTGCTGCTTTGTTGGTTGGCTTTATTGAGTTCTTCACAGTTTTGTCTTTAAGCTGCTGCTTGCTCTTGTTCATCACCTCTTACGGACCTTTTGATTCTTTTAACTCTAATTTTAGATCAATGAACAAGACACTTACTTGGTGGAGTTGAAATTTTTTTTATTGTCGATTAGCACCAACATATACTTGCAAGATCCTCTCCATACACATTGTTCTTGCTTGCTTTGAGGAACTTTGAAAAATTAATACGGTCAGCTATCATTTTGTAGAAAAAGAAAAAGAAAGCCAGAAGACGAACTTAATTTGGTTGCTCATGCTTAAGTTCCTCATTTTTCTTCATATTTGATCCATGGAAGATCTCTGTCTCTCCTGCTGTTTCATTTTTTTTAATACGAATTGTATTGTCTTGACTTGACTGCATTATGTTTCAACTTTGGACGGTCAGAAGGATTTATTATCCTCTAACGTTGAAGATATTCATCTGTTAAACTCTAAATTTGGTGTACTAATCACAATCCTTGCTGTATCGTGGCACATGGAATACTTCTTATGTGGCAGTTCATGTTAAGACTCCCTGTGATAACATGCAGTGGGAGGATTATGACGAACAACAACCTATGTCTTATGTATAGCGGATTATGACTTCAACATTTATATTTTGCTTAAAATTACTATATATTTGATACTAATGTAAGTTATGTACTCCAGTTAGTTGAATATGTTATTTTCTTATGGTTGAGTAGATGGCAGTCTGTAGAAGATGTGTGTTATTCATGATTTTACTGATTGGGTGATTTTTTGGTATATGTAGAGTGGCTTTCAAGATGAGTCGGTGAAGATAATGAAGGCAATTAAAAAAGGCAGTTCCAATTGCCAGGTTGGCTAATTTTGCTGGATTTTTAAAACCATTTCTATGAAGAAATGTGCTATGATCTCCTGCTTTTACGTTCATTGCTTCTGAACATGTATTGTCTACTTCTTGATGACCTGATCATTGATGAAAAGATCAGCTCTTTTTTGTTCTGCCTCCTCCAGTGTTAACTTCTTTGAATCGCAATAATAACCTTATTCAGATACAATTCTGTCTGCATTGAGACCACCTTCTGTATATATCATTATATATTTGTGTGATTCGTGTGCAGCTGAACTGGAATTAACAACTTGCCTATTATGAGCTTCTTTCTGGTGGCTTTACCATTATAATTGTCCAACTAAAAGCATAGAAGGGAGGATTTCAATATATAGTACTTGAAAGCATATTCTGGCTTTTTTTATCAATGCCTTCATGTATGTCCTTTGTGGATTGCGTATTTGACCTTGTTTCTGTTGGCCGCAATTGTCACCAGGTGCTCCTCTTTTCTGCAACATTTGATGATTCTGTCAGAGCCTTTGTCTCTAAAATTGTCAAGGAAATATTTGTTAGAGACTATAACCAAATGTTTGTTAAAAAGGAAGAACTATCTTTGGAGTCTGTCAAACAATATAAAGTGCAGTGTCCAGATGAGCTTTCAAAGATCATGGTCATTAAAGACAAAATATTTGAAATAGGAGAGAAGGTAGGGCAGACAATCATATTTGTCCGCTCAAGAAACAGTGCATCTATGTTGCACCAAGAGTTAGTCAAGTATGGATATGAGGTTACTACCATTCAAGGGGCTTTGAAGCAAGAAGATAGGGACAGAATAATAAAAGAGTTCAAAGACGGTTTGACTCAAGTTCTTATATCTACTGATCTTCTTGCTAGGGGTTTTGATCAATCACAGGTGATTCTCTCTTCTACTGTTATTCCTAGTTTTTGAATGGATGATTTCCTATCTCGTATCGTGAAGTTGTAGAAGGTGGCTATTTATTTCCCAGGTCAATTTGGTTGTCAATTTTAATCTCCCTGTGAGATATGACCATCCTTCGGAACCTGATTATGAGGTATACTTACATCGGGTTGGTAGAGCTGGGCGCTTTGGCCGCAAAGGTTATTTCTCTTTCTGATTTTATTTTTAGTGCTTACTTTGTTTTCATTTTTCCATCGCACTTGCCTTTTGATAACATTTGGTGAATTCAAATAGTTCATGTGGAAGTCGCTAAATTTAGAATTTTCTCCCATAATACTTGCTTTATTACCATTTTCTTTGTTCTAATTTCTTGTCGGAATATGCTCGTTTGGTAAAGCTTTTTTTTTTTTTTTTTAATATTTTAGCTGGTTGAACTTAATTTTTAACCAAAGATTTCATTGGATCCGCAACTTTTATCTACTTTTTAACCACACATTTCATGTGATCATCAGCTTATAATCTCAAAAAGCTTCGTCGAGTGGGGGCTAAATAATTTCTTGAATCTATTATTTCTTTTGCTTGGTGAAACCCTGTGATCCTTTGTTCAAACTTCAAACCCCTTGTTTAAATGTGTAATAATGTAGTCTTGAATTCATCATATATGCAAAAAACAGCCTGTGATAATTCAGCTAGTTGTCATGTAATCTATTTAGAGTTCTTCTGGAAGAAGGGGATTCTTTGTAGCCTAGTCTGGTTGTATATATACTCTTTTTCTATGCAAATTCTGCAGTATGACACTCTTGTGTAATTGAACAGGTGCTGTATTTAACTTGCTTTGTGATGATAGAGATAATATGATCATGGACAAGATTGAGCAACACTTCAATGCTCAAATAACTGAGGTGAAATCTTGTACTCTTCTTGGGCAGAGTTCAGGCTATGTTCTCAATTTAATATTCTAATTTTTCAGTGTACCATAAAATAGAGATTTTTTAGTAGATTGTTTTACAATTGTTTGTCGACGTGTTCAAGAATGAATTTATTTATTGGAATAGTTTTGAGGGTGATTTCTGAACCACAGTATATAACCAACGTTCCAACTTTATGTGATACAGTTGGGCTCATGGAAAAGCAATGAGGATTTTGAGGAAGCTCTCAAGAAAGCAGGGTTGCTTTGAATGTTGGATGTGAATTTGGGGATGCAATGTATTTATAACGTTATCAGTCCAGTTAGATAATTTTTCTTCGAGCTAGAAGTCACTGAGCCGGATGCACTTTTATGCTTTTAGTATTCGAGAAACTAGATCGAACACTTTCTTGTTGTCTCATGGGTTTTTGGCGCTGAGTTTATAGTGGATTAAAATATTGAAATATATATAGATTTGGCTTCCTTTCTTCCTGGTTTTTCGTTGGTGGTGTTCATTATGTACCCTCATGAAATACCGATAAATCATTCAAACTGCTTTCTTCGATTCTGGATTTGAAGCCTATTTTCAAGCCTCAGCGCCATATGCGCCAAGGTTTTATGCATTAGATCAACAGCTATATCAGCTTCCCTGTTCTTAGTCTGAGTCGTTTGTTTAAATCTCTGCCATACTATGAAACATGTACTTGGCCATCAGGGTCTGGCCTCGAACTTTATTTTTGATAGCCACTTTGCCCCTTACACTAGGTAGATTTTGGGGTAGGGTAGTCTGAGATTATGAGTCACATTATTACTTTGCATTTATTTATTTATTTATTGATCGCTGATAAAATTTGTCGTTTTTACTAAAGAAAATTAATTCTGCTGCTGTGTTAAGATTCATGATGCCAGTTCTGATCAGAAAAAATTGGGGGAGGGGTGGCAGATTTCAATTAAGAGAGTTGGCTCTAATCCAAATAAATTAATCTACAGAAAGTGATATTTTCACCAATATTATTAGAATATTAAACCAGTAATTGAAGGGTTGGATGTGGTAATACTCTATATACTGTGCTGTTACTGCAATCTAATGAAGTATTTCTTTGTACTTCCAGAAAAAAAAATCACACTCTTCAATCTCTAAGTTTTGACCGTAAGCCTCAATAGTTACCTACATACATTTTGTCTAATTCAATAGTAAAAAATACTTATCCAACCAGATTTGCTGATCTGCTGCTGAGAGTTGGTCGTGTAATTACTTGGAGCACTAATTTTGTCACACACCAATACCCAAAAAAAAAAAAAAAGAAAAAAGGAAATTTCAATAATATTAAGTAGGATGTCCGTTGGAGCCCAAAAATTTCTTAATACACTGCTCAATTAAATATACATATAGAAAGTTCAATACCCTTTTAAATAAACCTTCATGGTTTGCACGTTCCAAGCTAGTGGTGGCTTAGTGGTCTTCCACACAGTATTTGATCATAATTTCTTCTTTTCTCTATATATTTATCAATCTCCAGGCAGTATTCATCTTCAATTAAATTCAAATTTGTGTGTGTGTTTGAGTGACAGAAATGGAAAGAACGAGTATTTTGTTGATTATTGCAGCAGCTTCTTTTTTAGCGATTTTTAATGGTGTGGCCGATGCTTTGAAAAAGGATTCTGAGGTATTCCAAGTTGGTGGCAAAGTCCTTTGCCAAGACTGCACCGAGGGATGGAATGAATGGGTTAGTGGTGTCAAACCTATCAAAGGTATTTTTTTCCCCTTCAAATCCTCCTAACATAGGGTACGTAAAGTGACATGTCGAAGACATTTTAAATCAATAAATTCGTCTTTTACCTTAAAGAGCTTGAACTTTTGGACGACACGTCAACAAAAATTTTAAAGAAGAGAGATGATAGGCATTGAGTTAGTTTATATGACTATGCAGGTTGCAAGGTATCTGTAACGTGTCTAGATGACAGGAGCAGAATTGTGCATTATGCAAGTGACTTAACAGATGATGTTGGGGATTTTGAGATTTCTGTGGAAAAATACACCAATGGGGGGAAGGAGCTCAAACCCCAAAATTGCTTTTTAAGGCTAGTATCATCGCCGGATCCTGTGTGTAACATTGCCACCGACTCTGTCGGCGGGAAGACTGGGGTGAAGCTCCACCACCCGACCGTTGTGTACCGCGACATTGTCAAGTATGTGCTTGGCCCATTCTACTACTCCACTCCCATGTGTGATGAACCTGATACTAGTATTATTGATTCTACTGATGGGAAAGAAAGCAACTACTGATGTCTAGTCTGAATTGTACTGATCGACAGTTGAATAGCTCGACAAAAGTCCATCAGTTGCACGTACTCTTTTTTTTGTTCAATTTGCACTTCTCTTGTTTTGATTAAATGATACAATGAAGAATCTTGAAGTATTGGATCGTGTTCACTTCAACATGTTCTTTATGGAAGAGTTATCATTATGTAATTCTTTGTGGTTTCAGATGTCAATTAAAGATATTCATTGGTTTCTTGACGGAGCTGGCAAAAATGAGAATGTTAAGGTAGATAAGATTAAAAATGGGAACATATATCAACAAGTGGCTGGTATCGCCTAATTGCAGGCCAACTCATACTAACCTCGTTGTTATCTGTTTTATTTTTTATTTTTGGTTGTTATTGAGAAAAGCGAATCAACGTATCTTAGACTTTCAAAGCTAGGCACAGAAAAATTGGAATTTTGGGTTCATGGGTCTGGACTACACAACTCATGAACAACTCAATTAAATGTGTACGAACATATGCGAGAGAGGGGCCGGTAGGGAGATCACAGTGAATTCTCTTAAAGAAAAAAGTTTAGTCCGTTGCACACAGAGGTGATCTCTTCTTGTAAACAGTATCATACCAAGGCTCCTTTGCCTTATTTATGCTGACTACAACCTAATTCATCATCTACTAATCAAACTCAACTAAAAATTAATTGAAAATTATATATAAAAAAAATGTTTTAGTATGGAAGAATCCCATTTGTCTTCCCTTCGCGCAATCGTGAGAACGAACTCAATAACTTGGACGATACACGATCCAAATGCCTTAATGATTGTGCACGCCCACAATATGATCTGCTCCTCGTGAGCTCTGCTCTTAAAGAAGAAGACGAAGATGAACAACCCCTTTCACTCTCCCTTCGTATATTAACCACAACATACGACTGATCCATGGACAAAGATCTATTCAATCCCATTATCAAACCCCTCGATGACAACGACATAGATGATGGTGATTTCCTTTCCGTTGGCAATACCAGTGAATAACAATGGCGAAGAAGAGCAAAACGTTGCCCCGCAGATGAAGAACCATTCTCTATTGTACTTGTATTTTCATGAACGTGATAATTTCCAGAAGAATTCCCATTATTTCTTGTATTTTCTATAGCCGGCAATGGCACTGCAGTTGCCGTTTTATCATCATCTTCTTCTTTTTCTTCAGCAACAATGGCGGATCGACAAAGAGGGCAATTTACATGCCCCATAAGCCATTGATCTATGCATGGCAAATGAAATGCATGCTTACAATTAGGAAGCAAACGCACCATATCTTCACCTTCCATTTCGCCTAAACAAACTGCGCATTCACTCTGATCCACATTTCGTTCTCTTAGGGATGAGTAGGCCATAACTGGGATTGTTTTGAGGACTTTCTTGTCCACGCCGATTGGACTGGCTTCGCAGATGGGTTGCGCAGCGGCATTGGCGTTGGTTCTTTGCCGCCTCAGGCAGCATCTAACCAAGACGAAATGGTAGACTATTATGGCTAGGGATGTTGCAATTATTCCTAGCATGGAAATTAGCAATGGAGTGAAAAAAGTGCCTGTCGATGGCGCCGGTGGTGAATTCAAGCTCTCCATGGATCATACTACGGACTTTGGATGTGATTTTTGGCTTTGAAGAAAGAATTTGGGTGAATGAAAGAAAAAGAAGTATTATATAGTCTTGTTTTCTATGTGTTTAACGGATCCCATTAGGTTGCCTAACTTATATATAAATAAATAGAATACGTATATTTTAAGTTTTCTAAATATTAGATTGAATATGATAAATATAGTAGAAAATCTTGTTTTCAATCTTGTTACCAAATGAGAAAAGGTTCGATGAGACAACCTTATATGCACAAGTGATCTGACACTCCATTCGAATTATAATTCCTCGGATCTCGAGTCATCAAATCGAGACACCTCGGCATTCAGAATCACTTCGTTTGTCTTACAAGTTTTGCGATTTAAGTGAATCGAAGTTTGAAGTGTCGTGATTTGAATGAAAAGTCATATCACGTGTGCACATATGACTATCCCACCAATTTATTTATTTATTTCACACCAGACATATAATAAGTATGTTTAGTTCGTTATAATTTGACAAGTGTACTCAGAACTCTCTAGCTAAAAGTATCAACAACGTCATCCATCGCTAAACAAATATTCAAATTACACGTGTCAATTTTGATAGACGTTAATAATGATAACACTTGTAATTGATCTTATATCATAAAATTTTTCTACTGTATACGTGTGGTTGTGATTAAATTAATTGAGGATACATAGTCACCAAGATTTGTGCAATCGTCATATATTCCAATAAAAAATGGAATTAGTTTTGAGTTATTAAATTAAAGTCACGAATAGATTGACATTTGTGAAGAATAGGGTTGGAGTAAGCTTAAAAGACTGAAAAGAGTGGTGAAAATTGCAACAAGTGGGGGCGGTGTTATAGAGAGAAACTGCGTCACTGTGTGTGTGTGTGTGGTCATATTTATGTCCATATTCAATTATTTGCGGCCAAATGTTTGGACATACGAAAACAAGAATTTTTTTTTTTAGTTGTTAGGTATCAATGGACTTTTCCTCTGTGGTCGGTTGATGCTGTTGGATACAAAATAATATTGCTTGTTTAACTTAAAAGGTTGTTCAATTTAAAATATTATAAATCCTAATGAATTTCCTGAATTTGAATAGATATTTACAAATTCTATAAGAAGTCTCATTCAATACGATGAAATTTCAAAAGATTTTGTTGTACGTATTTTTAAACTTGAAATCTATCTAAATCTTTTAAAATCCCTCTATTAATGAAATTTTAAAGAATTTTGTTGAATTTCATTAAAACCTCGATTGGGGACGCCTAAATTTTAATAAATTTCATTAAAATCTCAATTGAGGATACCTCATAAATTTTTATTTTGATTTCCTATTATGTTCCAAAACAACTTTTCTTTTGCTCGACCAAGTCCAGACTTGACACGATCGGGTCTAGTCTGATTTGGTGTAACTTATCTGAATTTATCGTGTGTTTTTAATTTAATTTAACGTGTAAAACGTGTTATAAATCAATATTCGACCACTCAAACAAAATTTAACATGCTTTTAGATAGGGCAACAAAAAAATCCAACTTCAATAAAAATGGCACTCCTCTTGTCTTATGTCACCCAGGAACATACGTGAAATCGCCGGCCAAACAAAGCAAAAGAATGATAAAGCACAACACCCTACTAATTTTATTTAATTAGTTGGACCTAACTTTCGTAGAGAACAATATTTTGTACCCTAATCGACACAATTAATAGGGTACTTTGCATTTGTTTGAAAATACAATTCAATATCTCAAACACGTCTTCTTCCTGATAGTCTAAACCTTTAGATGAGACAATTTGGTCACAAAATATGCAAAGATTTCGAGTTCAAATTGCAACGTCACCAATTTATAAGAGTTCTGCTGTAAGGTCTTCAATGCATAAATGAAAGCGGTTTTGACCTAACTTCTAGGCCTTGAAGAATTCAAATTAAATAATGTATCACATATCTAATAACTTAAGATTTAAATGCAAGAAACTTGTACCCAAAAGACGCGTAGAAGATACAAACTAATAATTAGATTGGAAGCACATAGATAAATAGCGCATACCATGTGCATTGTGGAAAAACGAAAAAGTATAGGGCCAAAAGCAAAAGCAAAAAATGAAGTGTGCGAAAAATATGATCTCCTTATGTGGAGATTCCAATGGCATATCCATTGGAAGATGCTAAAAATCCACCCTTTTTTGCTTTTCTTTATCCAAAAGTCATCTACCTCTTTCATTGCCCACGTGACTAGCAACTTCTTTATAACATACCAAACCAAACTTCTTGATCAAAACCCTTGTTGCCATATCTTTTATGTGAAGCTGCATATTTTGTTGGCAACATGTCGTCCGGCCATTAACGACAGTCCTAATTGCTTGAATTGTGATGCAAAATACCCAACAAGCATTAGATCTAGCCACGCGTTTCAATATGAGTCTATGATCATGTCTAAAGCATCTCCCTTGTAAGGATGGCAGAACATCTATCTCGACTTTGTGGTGCACAATGTCTTTCTTGGTGCACGGATCATCCCATATTAATAAAGGAATGGCCATTTGAAAGGTGGTTGATTAAGGTTAATTACTTATTCATATAGGGCAACTTCAATCCTTGGGCATTTTCACTTTCCTAGAGAGAGAGACCCTCTCTCTAGTTTGCAATGCTTGTAGTATAACTAATATCTTAGAGGGCCTTTGGCTATAATAAAACATAGCTATCTTTTGTTTTGGGTATTCGACTTCTTTGATTGATGATTGCTTTAGTTCTTATGTTCTTGTTCGTAGAGCGTAGATATGGCCTCTGTTTGGGTACATATTTATAAATAGTTTATAAATTTAGTCAAAATAAAAAATTAATTTCAACTATACATTCATGACTACTACTCATTATTATCCACAAACTTCTTTCATTTTGCTTAAAAGCAAATTTGTCCACTAAAATTTATCCAACTATTGTTTTTAAACACAACCTAGACGTACTAGTTCGACTAGAATATTGACAAATTGACCAGTTCAGGTACGACAAAACCTATATGGGAAGCCCAACACATGGTGTTAAGGGATAAATTTCACGTCAAATAAATATGAAAATATAAATCAACTTATGAGGACTTGGACTACTCCTCTTAACAATGTTGACCTTTTAAAATTGAACCACAAGTCTTAATATGATATTAGAGCCCATTAAGCTCCAACAAATAATTATATCTGTTGACGTCTAAAATTGAGTGGACAAAATTAGAGCCAGCTTAAGATACAAATGAACATCCAAGGGGAATAAGTGGAAGAGATTCTTATTATTGTAAAGTTTGGCAACATGTCGTCCGGCCATTATCGACAGTCCTAATTGCTTGAATTGTGATGCAAAATACCCAACAAGCATTAGATCTAGCCACGCGCTTCAATATGATCATGTTTAAAGCATCTCCCTTGTAAGGATGGCAGAACATCTATCTCGACTTTGTGGTGCACAAAGTCTTTCTTGGTGCACGGATCATCCCATATTAATAAAGGAATGGCCATTTGAAAGGTGGTGGATTAAGGTTAATTACTTATTTCATATAGGGCAACTTCAATCCTTTGGCATTTTCACTTCCCTAGAGAGAGACCCTCTCTCTAGTTTGCAATGCTTGTAGTATAACTAATATCTTAGAGGGCCTTTGGCTATAATAAAACATAGCTATCTTTTGTTTTGGGTATTCGACTTCTTTGAATGATGATTGCTTTAGTTCTTGTTCGTAGAGCGTAGATATGCATCCGTTTGGGTACATATTTATAAATAGTTTATAAATTTAGTCAAAATAAAAAATTAATTTCAACTACACATTCATAACCACTACTCATTATTATCCACAAACTTCTTTCATTTTGCTTAAAAGCAAATTTGTCCACTAAAATTAATCCAACATTTATTTTTAAACACAACCTAGACGTACTAGTTCGACTAGAATATTGACAAATTGACCAGTTCAGGTACGACAAAACCTATATGGGAAGCCCAACACATGGTGGTAAGGGATAAATCTCATGTCAAATAAATATGAAAATATAAATCAACTTATGAGGACTAGGACTACTCATCTTAACAATGTTGACCTTTTAAAATTGAACCACAAGTCTTAATATGATATTAGAGCCCATGAAGCTCCAACAAATAATTATATCCTATCAAGACTCAAAAAATGAGCACACGGATATGTTAAGGAATGAATTTCACATTGAATACACATAAAAACACAGATCAACTTATAAGGGCTTAACTACTTTTAACAATGTTGATTTTTTAAGATGGAAGGAGGAAGTGATGCTGCCTTTCTTGCATCACCACAAACAATTGTACATGAAACTTGGTTTTTCGATATTAGACCTACAAATCATGCCACTCTGAATGTCAACACTCTGAGCCATCGTGCTGAATATTATGGTAATAATCGCTTGACCTTTGGTAATGGTTCTAGACTTGAAATTGCTCACATTGGTCAGTTCCTTATTCAATCTAATAACACATGCACCTTATCATTACAACTAAAGCAAATCTTACACGTTCCCAATATAACGGAAAGCTTGTTAAGCGTGTCGAAACATACTGCAGATAACAGAGTCTTCATTTAGTTTCACTCTAACTTTTGTTTTGTGAAGGACAAGCTGGAAGGTTTTGTTGCAATGTATTAGTTTCAAGTCCTCTCAAAAAGTCTCGGAAGTTGTTCAATTTCCACAAGTTTGTTCAGTCTCAATGGTTAAAAACTCTCAGTGGTAGAAATCCTACTATTGTGTCAAGAAAGGATGTTTTGCATAGGATGTTGGGTCGTCCATCTTTTAGTGTTGAGTCATGTCTTGAAGTCCTGTATTCTCAAATTCGAATCAATGAAAGTGCAAATTTCTCTGATGCTTTTACGTATGGCGAATCCTCACTCTTTACCTTTTAGCACCTCTCACACACACACAAACTTATCCCTGGATCTGGAACTTGTTCAACTCTGATTTTGGGGAGTATCTCCCGTTGCTTATTCTGGATTTAGATACTATGTGAACTTCTATTGATGATTATACTAGATACACTTGGATCTATCCATTGAAAAAAACAAGAAATACTTTGTTCAGTTCAAAACCTTAACCGAAAATCAATATGAAAAGAAAATCAAAACTCTTCAAGTTGATTGGGGACGGGAATATAGATCATTATTACCATATTTAAACCAAAATGGCATTCATTCTAGACGCCCATGTCCCCATACAAGTGCTCCAAAGGGAAAAATTGAAAGAAAGCACAGGCATATTGTTGAAATGGGACTTACATTACTTCCTCAAGCCTCCACACTGTCACGACCCGCTCCTTTCATAGCAAACATGACGGAATTATCTAGAACAGCGGGATCTTGAAGCTAATCCGGAATGTTCTAGACTATGATGGCTCATGAAACTAACTAGAAGGTAATGGAGAATTCTAGATAATTGGCAAGTCTTATACTTGTGGATTATTCTAGATAATTCTAGTTAATTCTTTGTACATATTTTATTATAGATACTTGTAGAAAATTCTAGAGACGGAATGTAGACCGTTGGATCAAATTGATCATAGCCATCAATTAAGAATGGTTTTGTCTATAAATAGTTTGGTAGGTTCATTCATTTGGAAATGGTAGAGAGTGAAGTTGTAAAGTTCTAAGTATTGTAAAGCTTCTTTGTTCAATACAAAATTTTCATTATAAACACTTGTCTTCCTCCTTTAAATTCTTAAGTGTTCTACTTGGTGCCTTTCTAAGACCTCAACGCTAGTTGGGAAGATGACTTAGTGTAAAAACCGCATGGGCGGAAGTTGGAGACACTAAGTGCCGCACGTGATCTCATTTGGAAATGGTAGAGAGTGAAGTTGTAAAGTTCTAAGTATTGTAAAGCTTCTTTGTTCAATACAAAATTTTCATTATAAACGCTTGTCTCCCTCCTTTAAATTCTTAAGTGTTCTACTTGGTGCCTTTCTAAGACCTCAACGCTAGTTGGGAGACTGACTTAGTGTAAAAACCGTAGGACCAGAAGTTAGAGACTAAGTGCCGCACGATGCTTGGAGAAAACAACAAGTCCGTGACAACGCGCTTAAAATATTGGTGGGAATCCTTTTAAATTGCAGTGTATCCCATAAATAGATTACCATCTCCAGTTCTTGAAGGAAAGTCCTCCACTAGGAAAGGCCTCAAACAAGTTGCCCGACTACTTGCAGCTCAGAATACTTGGATGTGTTTGTTTTCCTTGCCTTTGACCTATCAAAGTCACAAATTTCAGTTTCACTATACAAAATGTGTGTTTCTTGATTAAAGTGGCTCACAAAGGATATAGATGTTTAAATTCCACCGGTAGAGACTATCTATCCAGATACATAGTTTTCAATGAAAAAGACTTCCCATTCAAAATTGGATTCCTAAATACCAAACAAACTGCATGATTCATCAAGAGAAACAATAATCACTTCGGTTAATCCTTCATCAGCCAACATTTGTGTCACATTGGGATAAAAGTCCTAGTCATAATTTAATTTTGATCTAGATCTGCAGAACTCACCAGTGCCATCGTTGAAAACTCCATCTTTCAGCTCAGTTGGTACAAGTCAAAGCAAGGCCTCCATTGCAGCTACTCTAACCTAGGCTACCTATCACTTTCTGTCTATGGAAACACTTCCAATAATACTGAAATCCACCCTGAACCAATACTCCTTGACCTAGAGAAACACTAAACAAATGCTATAGGAACACTTGAAGGACTAGAAACCAACCTACCTACCAAAACTCTATAGCAAAAACAAAAATCAATCCATGTCTCTTGCCATCACATGGATACAAGATCAAAACATGGGATCTTCAAACCCAAAACCTACTTTTAGAAGCCAAAAAATATGCGCGATCACTGAAAAATGAAAGTTTAGATCCAATAACAGTTAGTGAAGCCTTGAAATCAGCTGAATGGAAGAAAGACATAAATGACGAATACCAAGCCCTTGTGAAAAACAAGACATGGAATTTTGTTCCGTACTCAACCAGTTTAAACATTTTTGGCAACAAATGCATTTTCAAAACCAAGTTTAATCCGAATGGCATAAATCGAGGTTAGAGGTAAAGGGGTTTCATCTAGTAGACTTTTATGAGACATTCAGGTCAAATGCACCCCCCCCTATACCAGTTATTCTTAATCTAGGTTTCTCAAGAGGTTGGGGTAAAAGACAATTGTATATAAACAATGCATTTTTGAAAGGTTTTTCATAAGAAAATGTGTTTATGAGGCAACCTGAAGGTTTCGTTGATAAATATAGACCACAAAATGTTTGCAAGCTGAACAAAGCCTTGTATGGCTTAAAACAAGCTTCGAGAGCTTGGTATGATATGCTAAAGAGATCTTTTGTTAATTGGGACTTCAAAAATGCGAGAGTTGATCCATAATTGTTTTTCCTTCGTCATGGTACTCTTCTTGTATTTGAATTAATCTATGTTGATGACATACTAATTTCCAGAAACGATGACAAACTAATCTACAAGTTCATCACACATCTGAAAAAGCACTTTGCTCTCAGACTTAGGTGAGGTTTATTATTTCCTTTGTATTGAGGTAATTCTTGATGAATTTGAAGAGTGCATGGATCTTTTGCCGTTTCAAGTGCAATTGGAGGTGGCCATCTTAAAAAATGGGTAACAGCTGAGCCGACAATTGAAGTATTCAGGATTACAAAAGAGAGCAAGTTTTTGATCCTCGCCTCAGACGGACTTTGGGATAAGGTAATAAATGAAACTATGTTGAGCTCATTGTAGTCTTAACCACATTGTTGAAACAATGATTCGATTAAGAGATAGGATGCTAAAAATGCTTTTCACTTTCTTTGCAGGTTAGCAATCAGGAAGCAACAGATGTAGTTCATCATTTATGTGTGCGCGTTGACAAGCCGGAATTATATTCTATTTACAAAAAGATCGTGGATTTATCACACTCGAGAGGATCTTCTGATGATATTAGTTATGGTGATCCTTCTAAGTCGCTTCATTCAGTTACTCATATGCTAGGAATAACTTAATATAGAAGTATATAGCACTTGCAAGTGTATATATTGGAAAGTTATAAAGCCTTAGAGGAAAAATCAGGACACAGAGTGACATTAGATAAAAACCAGAAGGAAAACAATGGTGAAGACGAAATTGAAGGCTTTATTAATTGATTTTTGATACAATTACAGAAAGACCCTATGCGTCTATATATACAAGAAGATGAATTACATACACTACATACAAAAAATTCTTTAACCGTGAGTAAACACACCATGAATGAAATCCCTGGAATCAAGGATGGCTAGAGTACTGAAGGTGAATCCATTGGAGGTAGTGTATTGCGATATTCTCCTTCCTTCAAGCTCTAGTAAGAGAGAGTCGCATTTCCCTTATTTCACGTTTTTCTTCTTCTCTTGGTTAATTGCTTCTTTAGTCCTTGTCTTCTTATTATGTGCCTTTTGATCCACTGAATTATCTTTTCTAACAGCCCCCTTCAAGCTGGAGATTATCTCTATAACTCCAAACTTGCTCGTAGGTATAGGTGTCTAGAATTCAGTAACCGATTGGTTAGAATGTCGGCGACTTGATTTGTTGTTGGAACATAGCTGATTATGAGTTGTTTGGCCAATACTCAATCACGAACAAAATGCATATCAAGCTCAATATGCTTGGTTCGTGCATGCTAAACCGGATTTGCTGCAAGAGCACTAGCTCCTAAGTTATCACACCAGATTATGATAGACTGGGTTAGAAGCTAGAGCACTTGTTCCTAGATTATCGCACCAGATTCTGGGAACCTCTGTCTGAGTAATGTTAAGTTCATGTAATAGAGACTGAATCCACACAATTTCTGCAGTGCTATGAGCTAAGGTCCTATAATCTGCCTCAGTACTGGACATTGCCATAACTTGTTGCTTTTTAGAGCACCAAGAAATTAAGTTCCTACCAAGATATACATAATACCCTACAGTCGATTTTCTGTCATCCGGGCATGAAGCCCAATCTGCGTTACCATAGGCAATTATGTTAAGATCATGTGTTTATTGGATTGTCAGTCCTATCTCAAGCATTCCTTTGATGTACCTGAACAGTCTTTTTAATAAATTTCAATGTGTATCGGTAGGACATTAAAGATATTGGCTTATTCTATTTACTGCAAACGTGATATCAGGCCTAGTATGCGTTAGATATTGTAGAGCTCCCACATCACTTCTGAACTCCGTAGGGTTCTCTAAAATCTGTTCTTCAATTTTGGCAACGAGCTTCCCAGCTACCATTGGTGTGACACTCGGTTTCAGTTTCAAGTTTTCAAAGACAATTTTTTTTAAAGTATCAGTAGCATATCTTCTTTGTGACATATGTAAGCTAATTTCATCTCTGTAGAACTCAATGCCCAGAAACTTCCTCAGACTTCCCATATCTTTTAATGCAAAGGTTGTATTCAACCTTTCAATTAACTTTTGTACCCTTGTAGCACAGCTTCCAATTATTATGATATCATCGACGTAAACTAGTAGATATATCACAGACTCTTGAGTTACCTGATAGAATACTCAGTTGTCAGCCTTTGATTACATAAGTTCCCAATTCAGCAATGTCTCTTTCAACGTATCATGCCAGGCTCTGGGAGCTTGTTTAAGCCCATAGAGGGCCTTGCTGAGTTTGCATACAAACGATGGTTTATTTTGATCAACAAAGCCTTGAGGTTGTTCCATGAAAACCGTTTCCTCCAATTTGCCATTGAGAAAGGAATTATTGATAACTACTTGCCTTATTTCCCAGCCTTTCGAAACAGCAAGTGTAAGAATAATCTTCAGGGTTAGTGCTTTAGCTACTGGACTCAATGTTTCATAATAGTCGATACCTGATGTCTGCAAGAAGCCTTTTGCCACCAACCTGGCTTTATATCTCTGAATTTCTCCATTTGTATCATGCTTCAATTTATATACCCACTTGCAGCCTATTACCTTCATTTCAGATCTGCAGGAACTAACACGCAGCTGTTATTTTTTATCAGTGCTTTATATTCTTTCTTCATAGCTTGGCTCCATTTTTCACTTTTCAAGGGTTTATGAACACTCACTGGTTCTATCTCATCAATTGAGCTTGTAGCAACATCAGCAAAAACTTTTGGTTTAAAGATTCCTGCCTTAGACCTGGTTATCATAGGATGTTCAGTTGTTTGTTTTGTTTTTGGTATAGGAGACTCATCTCTCAACTCTCTTCCATGTACTGAATACTCAGGCTGAGTATCAAATTGTTCAGTTTCTTGTATCTGTGGCATATCAGATCCATCATCATTTTCCATCACTCTTTCACCCTCATCTTCAGCAAGAGGCTCTTGTGCAGGTTCTTCTATGAGAGGTATTATATCAGCTAATTCTGTGATTCTTCTGTAAGAGCTCAGATCAGATGAATTAGTGGATAGTTTGTAGGAGCTGATTTCATAAGGTAGATAATGAGAAGTGATAGGAGGATATTTGTGTCAGGATTTTTTGTTGAGAAAACTTGTTTGGAATGGGAATGAGTTTTCATCAAAGATGACATGCCTGGAGATATAAATTCTACCACTAGGACTTAAGCATTTGACGCCTTTGTGAGATAAACTAGGACCTAGATAGACACATTTCTGGGAATGAAAGTCAAACTTATGCTTTTGATATGGTCTTAGGCAAGGGTAACAGGAGCATCCGAATACTTTAAGTGACTATAGTCAGTGCTGTGCTTAAATAAGAGTTCATACGATGATTTGTGTTGAAGAATCAGGGTAGGTATCCTATTTATGAGGTATGTTGCAGTTAAAAAGGCTTCCCATCAGTAATAGAGCGGCATATGTGCTTGGGATAGTAGAGTTAACCCAGTCTCAGTTGCCCGTGTTTCCTCTCGGCCCTTCCATTTTGTGATGAAGTGTGTGGGCAAGAATACCTTAGTTCAATCCCTGATTCGAAAGCTATCTTATCTAAGCTTTTATATTCTCCCCCCATGTCTAATTGAATTGTTTTTATCTTCCTTTCAAACTGATTTTCAGCAAAATTTTTGAACTGTGTAAAACAGTGAATAACTTCATACTTGTGCTTTAGAGGGTAAATCCAGGTAGACCTAGTACAATCATCTACAAAGAGAACATAATACTTAAATCCCGAGGTAGAATTAATAGGGGCTGGTCCCCAAACATCAGTGTGGACAAGATCGAGTGGCATTTTAGCATGAGATAGAGAAAATTTGAATGGCAGGGCATGTGATTTGCTAATCTGACATGCTTCATAGAAATGAATTTTTTTATTACTGATAAAGTTGAGTTTATTACAAGTTTTCAAGAACTGAAGTAGCACAGAAGTAGGAAGGTGTCCTAGTCTTCTGTGCCAGATTTCAATCTGTGATTCAGAGACATTGTTATGTATAGAGTTTGCGGATTCAGATGAACTTGTGTAGAGGATGGACTGAGATTTGTTTAGATGATGACTGATAGGACTTGTTTTCTGGTTTCTTGTGTCATGGTAGGGTAGATCCAACTGGTATAATCCTCCTCTAAGTTTCCCCTGCACTAGAGCCTTCCTTGTTGATAGATCTTTCACAACACAATTGTTAGGGTAAAATTCAACTGAGAAATGATTATCAGAAGTAATTTTCGAAACACTTATGAGATTCTTTTTAATTTTAGGCACATGAACTAGTTTTTTTAAGGCAAGTCTTTTTCCAGTTTCAATATCAAAAACCTTTGAACCAACATGTGAAATTTGTAATGAAGTGCCATTACCAACAATCATTCTTTCCTTACCTCCAT